ACAGTCACACACTATAAATAAATTAGTCTTGAATTATGAATTTTGATATTCATGTATATCAAAATATATTGATAATATGATTTTTTATATGATTATATAATTATAAATTATTATGTAAATAAAAATAATTAAATTTCATAATAATAATTTTTACATTCACAGGGGAGTAATTTTCATCGTGCTAATTTTTATTATTTAACTCAAACAAGGTTACTTTTTTCTAAATGATACAATCTTATACTATTAAATATATTATTTGAGACAGTAAAAGAAAAACACACGCGTAACTATTCTGAAAAACCACTACATACATGCATGGTTATGAATTTAAACCATCTTGAGGATTTATAATTTGTTAAGACTTAACTATTATCACTGTTATTCGATATAGATTTAGGGTTTGAGTTTTTTTAATAAATATATGCAGCGGCAATGAGTTTTTCCGATTTTAAAGAGTTTATTTTAAAAAAATATATAACATAATACATTTAGATAAATAAACATGTCTAAAGAAAATAATATTTTTAATCCCTTGTGATGTTAAGAAGTGTTTTGCCAAATATATGGTAATTTAATTATATAAAATGTGGTGTCTTACACGGTATAACATTGAATACTTCGTTGTATTAAACATTTATTAAATATTATACAAATAATATACAATTACGTATATAGGTCAATTAATTTTAAGGCCGTTTATTTTACGAATTTTTAAAGAAAATGAAAAGAAATGGCTTTAAAAAACTAAATCAAACATGAATGAAGATACTTTGTGGCTTTAAAATTTTTTGTTGTAACTTGAATATAAATAGACTCAAGAACTCTCAAACATTTCAAAGTGTTTCTTTTTATATTAAATTAGGGTCTAGAACTCTTTTGAAAAATTATTCCCTGTTGTGTTTATGATTGCATTTCCACGTAGTTCAAGTTTGAGTTGCTGGGGGATACAATTTCACCAAACACGGTCTTAATTCTACTAATAATTAATTTCGTTACTCGAGTTTAGTCTTTAGAAATGACATAGTATCTGGATGGTTCTGAGAACAAAAATAATATTTTTTACAAAATGCATTTTGAAACAAAAAATTTTATTTTCAAATCACGTATTTGAAGAAAAAAAAAATGGAATATATTTTTTGTTGGTTATTCCTTCCTCAAGAAAATGCACTTACTTTCATTTAAATATAACTATTTTTATATTATATTAAATTATAATTTAATTCCTATATCTAGCTGTTTTTTGGTTTCATTTCTCTCTCTCTCTCTCTCTCTCTCTCTCTATATATATATATATATATATATATATATATATATATATAAATTATAAACTAGTTCTCATTATTTATTGAAGTTATAATAATATTAGTAGTTGTTTCTGTAAGGATGAAAATAAAAACTAATATATCGTATACAGGATTATGAAATATTATATATATATATAAATGAATGAAACAAAGTACAAGTATGGAAATTAAAACAAAAATGATGCCAAATAAATAAACCAAAGTTGATATTTTTAACTTTAATAAACAACAAAAATTGGCATGTAAAATTTTTTTATATAAAAAATATAATAAAATTTTATCATGTAAAGATTAAGACTGAAAACCATATTAAGGGTATAAACTAAATTTACAAAATTAAAATCAAACATTTACATTACTTTAAAACAAATACTCTCAAACACAAACCATACAGTGTCAAATATGGTAATCTTTTACTTGACAGAACAAGATAAATATTCTACGATAATTTTTTTAAAAATATAAAATTTTTATTAAAGAAATTGGTAGTACAACCTAAAGTGGTATATCGATTATTCATTGAAACGGCAAATGTATATATTGTAAGAATTGCTACTCAATGTTCATTATTTTATTTTAGCCATGCATTATAAAAATTATAGTAGTTGCTGGGTCAACAAACACTATTAAAACCCTATTATATATACAAATTCACATGCAAATGTAATTGACTTTTCACTTTATTTTTGTTTGGGGAGAACACGTCATTTTGGCCTCGCATTCAAATCAACGTTTATACTTTTACTTGCTCCAACTACTATATAATATTGATAAAAATTTGACCTAATTTTAATAGGACCATTCAATTTTTGTCCTGTGGTAATTCCTAACAGCAACTTGTTGCGTAGATGAAGAATTCAAATCATATGTTCAGGCAATAATAGTAATAATAATAATAATATGTAAGGAAGAATACAAGACATTTGAAAACAAATGAGATAAAAATTCAATTTTTTTATAATTATAATTTTTCAGAATTATCATTTTAATTACAACAATCAATTACTATCTACAATTTTATAATTTTATAGATATTATAATTTTCATTTTGAGACATTTGACATAGCTAATTTCTTTTGCAGGTGAAAAAAAGATTCCATATATTAATATGAAATTCATAAAACTAAAGAAAGCTAATGATTTCATTTTATTTAAACTAGTTTTAAAGTATGAAATTAAATAAAAATTATTATGATAATAATATAAACTTTTCGAAGTTTAAAAGATAATTATGGAATGTTTAATTATTGTGATTTTGCTAAGATTGAACTTTTTGGTTCCATTAAAAAACAGTATACAGTGTCTAAAATAGAATAAATATTGTGTTATAAAAACACGAATTTAATTGATAGGGTAAAAAACATATATTGCCAACTAATTATAAATAATTATAATTAGTTAAATTTATTAATTTTGGTCATGATTGTTTTAAAAGTCATATTTATAAATTTTTTAATTAATTGATAATGTATAAAATTTTACATTAAAAATATATCAAATTAAACTGGTGAATTATGATGTATATATACTTTGTATAATATAAACGTAATGCCTATGTATGCACGGTATGAACTTAACTCTAAAGCTTGCATTGCACTCGATGCAAGCTTACAAGAACCAAGTTAAATAAAGCACGTTTTAGCATGTCACCTATGCATGCAACCATAATTTATATATATATATATATATATATATATATATATATATATAACATGGTACAAATTTTTTATAAGTTGCAAACTTTTTTTTTAATTGCGATGATCAAATATAATTGTGCTGATCCTATGATTGATGTCAACATCATTTAGAATTTAATGTTACCTTTACGATATTTTCAATAAATAAATAACGTATCTACTTAAACAGATTGCACACATAATGTTAGGTGTTGATAGTTGTTGTTGGTCCATAAATTTTATGATTTAAAGGATTTTTACAGTGTTATTTACATACGCTTTTAATTTAGATTAAATAAAATATTTAAAAATCAATGTTAACACAATTAATACAAGATAAAATCTACAGTAGTTTTTACAAAGAAAGTTTGATATCCCCTGTTATAAGTGAAACAATTCTCATAATAACCACCTTAGTATAACTCTGTTTTAATTTTTTACACTAAAATTAATGGTTAACCTATCCCTTAAAAATAAGGACTATGGACGTATAAACTGACTCAGCTTATACTTAGCAAATCGGAGTAAAAGATATATTAAAATATAAAACTTGTGATTGATATTTTTACAATATAAATACATACAACATAAAAAAAAGTATTCTATTTACACATTAATTAATATTTCATTTATTTACTATAATTAAAATTAACTTCAACAACTCGGTTGTATAATCTATAAGAAAAAGATTCATAAATTTTGTAAAAAAACTGAGATGAAAAATTAAATAAAAGATTCATGAAAAAAATACTTTCAAAAGAAAAAAAAACTAAAAAAATTAAATAAAAAATATAATAGATATATTGAGAGTTTAATCTATTTTGGCTTTTAAATAAATAAGCACCCTACTAGAATATAAAATAATATATAATATTTTATTTAGTTTAAATATAATATCAAGATTGAACTAAGGTCAAACTAATATATTTTTAAATTGATTTAGGTATTTTTATTTTATAATGTATATATTATTTATTTTAATATAAATTTCATTCTAATATTTAATTTAGACTAAAAAGAAGTCTACAAATTAAGATGATTTTATTTAAAAAAAAGATAAATTAGACTATAATTAGAAGAACAAAATTGTAAAAAAAATGATAAATTTATTGATAGAAAAGAGAAAAAAAAATAGTTAAAAGAAATGAAAGTCTAATGTAAATAAAAGGAGTGCATCAGACAAAGTTTTTTTTATGTGAAAATATAATAAAATAAATAATATGTGCATGTTATAGCTGTAATTCAATTTAGAAAAATAAGAGAAAAAAAATCAACCTGGATTATGGATTTTATTTTTTTTTGCAATTTCAATTTAATTGAATTTTGATTTAATTATTTTATTTATTATGCAATTTGAAATTAAATGAATTGATTTAGCTTTGGATATCCTTATATACGAAGAGATATATAATTATAAATTTTTATTTTAAAATGTGAGAATTGTAAATTTAAAGCATATATATTACAGCTTTCTTTTTCTTCTTTTGCTGATTTAACAAAAGGTTAACGGCGTAGAAAATATTTAAATCATCTGTGTATATAAATTAAATTTCAAACGTATACAATATGGTAGATTAAGTTCGAACTATATAAAAATGAGGACAAGTTAAAAGGAAAAAGAAATATTACATAAAGTAACAATCACTGTGAAGCAAGTAATATGAGATTAAAGTTTTACGAACTCGTTGCGTATTGGTTATCACTGAACCAATGATTCTTTGGGATTATTATTATCATTTATTGGTTTTACAAGAGATGTTGGTAATACATGCAATGAAATATCTCAACGATTTCAAATTCCCTCTCTGCGACGAGATAGACTGAATATTTTTAGAAAGTCAGAGATGGAAATATCAAAATCCTGGGAACAAAAATTAAGAAAAAAAGACTAATAATTGACTATTAATTAAAATTATATTTTATGAGAGAAGAGTATTGAAGAATATTATTTAGTATATTTAAAATTGGTAAAAGAAAATGGAAGGAAAAGTAAAAGAGAAAGAAAGAAAGAAGAGAGAGTGTCTCTTTCCGATCTGATAACACTTTTACCGTGTATGTATGTAGACCACACTATTGACTCTCTTTGCTCCTCTTTCTCTCTGTTCTCGCAATGGCTCATCTCTTCAGAGACCTCTCATTGGGCCACTCAAAGAGAGAGACAACGCCGCCGCTACCGCCGATGATAATGCCTCCCAAACCCGCCGCTGTTGCCGATGACCTCCCCTCTCCGCTCGGGCAACTCGCCGCCAACCTCTCCGATTCCGAACTCGCCCTAACTGCCTACGAGATCTTCGTCGCCGCTTGCCGCACCTCCTCCGGGAAGCCTTTGAGTTCTGTTTCTAACTCGTCCTCCAACCACTCTAACTCTCCAAGTAACAACTCGCCGAACTCTCCTGCGTATCAGCGATCTCTCACCTCCACCGCCGCCAGCAAGGTCAAGAAGGCATTCGGCTTGAAATCGCCGGGTTCGGGTTCCAGAAAGAGTCCTGGCTCAGGTTCCGGTTCCGGTTCGGGCCAGGGAAAGCTGAAGCGGCCACTGACGGTTGGAGAACTCATGAGGAACCAGATGAGGGTTTCGGAAGCCATGGATTCGCGCGTGAGGCGAGCACTGCTTAGGATTTCTGCTGGACAGGTCGCTTTTGTGTTAATATCACTCTCCGTTTTTGGCAATTGCACTTCGCGCTTGTTCTCGTTTTTCGTCTGTGTTGCAATGCATGTAGAGAGTGGAGTTTGATCTGGCCTTGCAAGCTGTTTTTATTTTAGGTTTTAGTTGGTTTATTGGTTTTCGCTTTTGATCTGCTATTGGATTCTTCTAATTTTGTAAAAGTAGCGTGATGTCATTTTGATCCAATGATATCAAATGTTGGATTGTGTGTTCCATGAGGTGTTGCACGTATGTATGGATTGTTTAATTTCATGTTTGAATTGAAAAGGTGGAACGTGTTGTTAGTGTTTAATTGATCGTAGTTTGTTTTGTCTTGTGGACTTAATTGCAGGTTGGAAGACGGATTGAGTCTGTGGTGGTTCCCCTTGAGCTGTTGCAGCAACTCAAGGCTTCGGATTTTACTGATCAGCAAGAGTATGAAGAATGGCAGAAGAGAACCCTGAAGGTTCTGGAGGCGGGTCTAATTTTGCACCCTCATATGCCGTTAGATAAATCGAATTCTGCTGCGCAGCGTCTGCGGCAGATTATTCATGCCGCTTTGGATAGGCCTATAGAAACCGGGAAGAATAATGAGTCTATGCAGGTTCTTCGTAGTGCTGTCACGTCTCTTGCTAGTAGGTCATATGATGGATCTCTCACTGATTCGTGCCATTGGGCAGATGGGATTCCTCTGAATCTCCGGCTTTATGAAATGCTTTTACAATCGTGCTTTGATGCTAATGATGAATCCTCAATTATTGATGAATTTGATGAGCTCATGGAACAGATCAAGAAGACCTGGGGAATTCTTGGATTGAACCAAACGCTTCATAATCTCTGTTTTACTTGGGTTTTGTTTCACCGGTTTGTTGCAACTGGCCAGGTGGATTTGGACCTGCTATCTGCTGCTGACGGTCAGCTAGCGGAAGTTGCAAAAGATGCAAAGACAACAAAAGATGCAGAATATTCCAAAATTTTGAGTTCTACGTTGACTTCAATATTGGGGTGGGCTGAGAAAAGGCTCCTTGCTTATCATGAAACTTTTGACCGTGGAAATGTTGAAACCATGCAGGGCATTGTCTCTTTAGGGGTAGCAGCAGCTAAGATTTTGGTTGAAGATATATCAAATGAGTATCGCCGGAGGAGAAGAAATGAAGTCAATGTGGCACGTGAAAGAATTGAAACTTACATCAGGTCATCGCTGCGTACTGCTTTTGCCCAGGCAAGTTCTTACTGTCTTCTGTTGGCTTTTCCCTTGTTAAAAGGTGATAGACTTGACGTTTATCATCTATTGGAATGGCAATAGTGCCTCATGGGAGAGAATTGGATTTTCTTTTTTTGGGTTTTAGAGCAACACTTCAACTTTCAGGTTGGTTGTGTTTGACAATATAATACTTGCCCATTTTTCACTTATAAAATCTATAAAATCAGTGTCAGATTGTATTTGTATGCAAACTTGAATTCTTTGTGGTTGTGAGCAAGTGGGAAACCCGAGATTACATATCCAAAACATGCTGATTAAATATACCAACCAAGTCTTTAAGGCACGAAAGCTTGGATATCCGTATGATGTCTAATGAATAGTTTGATTATGGTAATATATTGCTATCATAATTACATGCATCACTTTAGTTGTTGTGTTTAATTCTTCATCTATTTGCCTCTCTCTATATTTTCTGATAGACACATGGGCTGAAATAAACTTGTGTTGCTGCTGCATAGATAATGGAGAAAGCTGACTCCAGCAGGAGAGCATCCAAAAACCAGCCAAATGCTCTCCCTGGCCTTGCCATCCTTGCAAAGGATGTAGGTAGCCTGGCAGTCCAAGAAAAGCAAGTGTTCAGTCCAATACTTAAGAGATGGCATCCTTTGGCAGCAGGTCTTGCCGTGGCCACCCTTCATGCATGCTATGGAAACGAATTGAAGCAATTCATTTCTGGTATCACAGAATTGACACCCGATGCTGTCCAAGTGTTAAGAGCTGCAGATCAGTTGGAGAAAGACCTTGTGCAGATAGCAGTTGAGGATTCTGTGGAAAGTGATGATGGTGGCAAAGCAATTATCCGTGAGATGCCTCCTTATGAGGCTGAAGGTGCAATTGCCAATCTTGTGAAAATATGGATTAAGACTAGAATAGACAGACTGAAGGAATGGGTTGATAGAAATTTGCACCAAGAGGTTCGCATTCATCATATTTCTTTTGTTACCAGTTGATGATTTTCACTGTGACTTCATTGCCTATAAAGAATGTTGGGGATGGATATTTTGATAGAATTAGGTGTTTAAAGAGGTTTTGTGGACTTTATTTTAGTTTGTGATCATAACTTATGACTCTTATATAAGTCTTTTTTAGTTTATTTCAACAATTTTATGGCCAATATGACAAATTCCTGTGTGATAAGAACTTGTTAAATAATTGCTTAATATATATGTTTACCTAAATGCATTCTTAGACTGGGAATTTATAGCCTATTAATGATCATCATAAAGTCACCGCTAAACATTTTTTAGCTGAGTGTATGTATTTACTTCATGAGATTCTTTTAATTGATAGGTGATAAAATGTTGATAACTATGCATGTGATTAATTTTTGTGTGGGCCGACTTTATGCATTAATTGATTGCCTTATTTTGAATTAACCTAGTTTACTGTAATATCCTAGCTTTGGAGTTCTCAAGCAAATAAGGAAGGATATGCTCCATCTGCTGTTGAAGTGTTGCGAATCATAAATGAAACTTTGGATGCATTTTTCCAGCTTCCAATACCGATGCATCCTGCATTACTTCCCGACGTGATGAATGGCCTTGACAGATGCCTTCAGTACTATGTTACCAAAGCAAAATCTGGCTGTGGTAAATGATGTTGAAAATTTATTGTTTAGCTCTGATATTTGGTATCTGAAATAACTGTTCTTTGTTCTAATATTCAGGATCACGAAACACATTTGTTCCAACAATGCCGGCATTGACCAGGTGTGCTATTGGCTCAAAGTTTCAAGGCTTTGGGAAGAAAAAAGATAAATCTCCAAATTCTCAGAAGAGAAACTCTCAGGTTGCAACACATGGGGATAGCTCTTTTGGAATACCACAACTTTGTGTTCGCATAAATACTTTGCAGTGGATCTTGGGTGAATTTGATGTTCTGGAAAAAAGAATAATTACCCTTTTACGAAACTCTGAATCTGCTCATGAAGAAGATTTTTCAAATGGATTAGCAAAGAAATTTGAACTTTCTCCAGCCGCATGTCTTGAAGGAATTCAGCAACTCTGTGAAGCTGCAGCATATAGAATTATCTTCCATGATCTAAACCATGTTTTATGGGATGGTTTGTATGTTGGGGATCCATCGTCTTCCAGGATTGAGCCATTTCTTCAGGAACTTGAGCAGAAGTTGATGTTCATTTCAGACACTGTTCATGAAAGAATTCGCACACGTATTATTACTGAAATAATGAGAGCTTCCTTTGATGGATTCTTGCTTGTATTGCTTGCTGGAGGGCCCTCCCGAGCTTTCTCCCGTAAGGACTCTCAGATTATAGAGGATGATTTCAAATTTCTTAAGGAACTGTTTTGGGCCAACGGGGATGGCTTGCCTTCTGAATTAATAGATAAGTTTTCATCTACTGTGAGGTCTATCCTCCCCCTTTTCAGAGCTGACACAGAGAGTCTCATTGAGCAGTTTAGACGGCTGACGTTGGAGACATATAAATCCTCTGCCAGGTCTAAACTTCCATTACCTCCAACTTCTGGACAGTGGAATCCTTCTGAGCCAAACACATTGTTACGTGTTTTATGTTATAGAAATGATGAATCAGCTTCTAAGTTTCTTAAAAAGGCATATGATCTACCCAAGAAACTTTAACAGCCGTGAGAACCAACTAATGGAATGCCAAACTGGGATAATACTTGGATCGGATGTGCATTCTATATAACTTTCTGGTTCTGCTTGTATTTAGTACAACGTTGCCTCTCAGGTATTTATCTGCATTGTTGAGCAAGATTTATTTAAGGATGCGGCTGTCCTGTAGGACAATGGGAGTAATTGGCCGAAGGCTCAGTGCTACTGGCATATTCTCTTAAGACCCAAACTGAGGCAGCGTAAATGTCGGCCATGAGTATGGCAGGCTTATTTGTGAAGGTAGTTGAATATTCTTTCTGATTCATTAATTATTGGAAGATTAGAGATATCTCACGGTGGTTTATTCTGTGTTTAGCTTAATTTTTGTTTTACCGTTTGAGAGTTTCTATATATATTATATGAAAATGGTATCTATGTTCTCATTATTCTTTTGTTAAATTCCTTTGGATTGGGTTGTCCCCTTTTTTACCAGTATGAAATGCAGGCATTGTATAATAGCCCATTTGTTGATTGAAGAAGTTTATACCATTATTTATTAGTTATGAATGAAAATGCCGGCGATGATTGTAAGTTGGGATTAACATTGTATATATGCTAATTCACTACTCTTTTATGCTATACATATCTTTCTTTAGTCAGAGATGTTTGTTTTTTGAATATATCCAAACGAAGCTTCTGGTCGGGAGTGACGAGACGTGCCATGTGTGGACAGCTAGAAAAACCCTTGGCTGCTTGATTATGGAAAACGCCAAGACTGAATACACATTATCTGGTGTCACCAGGGTAATTGATTGCTCTTGTACTACTTCCTTGGATTGAGGTTACGAATTTAATTTACAAACGTGAAAAAATTTACTATTTCGTGATCCACCATTCGTAGGTTAGTAGCACGTTTTCCAAACGTGTTACCTTGCTGTTTTGGCACAAACAATTGGCCAGGATATATCTACAATTTTATTTGATAATTGCTGACAACTGTTACCCAATATACTATTTGTTTATTTGAGAAAAAGAAAATGAAATGTGTGCGATAATGTATTTTGTTTTATTACTAAAAGAGTAAGAATAAAGCAGTAAAATCGATAAATGCAAATAATCATTGTTTTCATTATTAGTTTGTTTCCGCGGGTTCCACTGGGACACCTAATGCACATCATTCACGTGCGAAGTCATAGTTTGAAAAGGAAGCGAAATCACGACCTAAAAAAAAAAAGTGAAATGAGGTTTGAGTGGAAACACTTGTGTTACCGAACATTTTAAGATTGATATTGTCTATATTCTAAAAAATCATCTTTTTTTTAATCTTTCTCGCGCGCATATATATATATATATATATATATATATATATCCTATTTTAGATGTACAAAACAATTTTCCGGGTGGAGAACTCTACCAGGCAGACTAAGCGTTATCCGATTCAATGAATGCAAAATGAAATAAATGATCAGATAAAGTGACAAATAAAGAGAAATACCAACATGCAAATGGAATAATAAATAGCATATTGCTTTTTATGTGAAATCCTTTGTTTCGGAACGGGATGCATCTTGTATGTATGGATACTAATTTTTCGCCCCTGAAGTAGATTGGAGACACTCCTTTATAATTTCCTTGATCCTTCTCTTCATTAGTTCATCTTTCACTCCAGCAAGCATGTCACGGTAAAACATTTCCAACCTAACTAGCTTCCTATGATCTGCTGCCTCTAACATCTTCTCCCATTCTATTGCAATGTCAAATGAACCTGAATTCCGCAACGAAGCAGGGATATCTTGCTCATCAAAAGGTTTTCCAAAAATAGAACCATGAAGTATACTCGCATATTTTTCCATTATAGACTGTTTTGTTTGAAGCAGCTTCAGCTCATTCAATACCGAGGATAATTTCTCATCTGTTTCTGTTATTTTTTCAGTCTCCTTTTCTCTGACCTTATCTTTCTCAACAGAGCTTTTTACTTCCTCATCTTTGAAATCCTCCATCATTGGAGGCCATAGCACAATGGTGGGAGTGTAACAGTCTACTCCTTTACCATTTCCAAGAACGCCACTCTTTCCTCTACCCCAAGACCATATTCTATATCCCTCCTGTGCAACAATAACAGTATGTGCAGCCCCACACGCGACTTTAATTGGATCAGGAAATTTAGGTTGATAAGGCTTGCATGACATAAGACGGGGAGAGAGTGCATCACCAGAATCTGTTTCAGCACGACTAGCATCAGGGCATAAGCCAAGGCCCTTCTCCATTCCCCAAGACCACACATCCCCAGCAGAGGAAACAACACTTGTATGAAACAAGCCACAGTCGACACTAATAAGATCTACATTTTGTGGCAATTCTTTAACAAGTGTGGGAAATGATGTGCTTTGAGTTGTTCCATGCCCAAGTTGGCCATTATTTCCAAGACCAAATGTCCAGCACGTGCTTTCTAATGTGTCACCAGGGTTCTTTTTGTGAGTGAGCAAAGCAGTGTGAAAGGCACCACATGCTACACCATAAATTGTCGACAGGGATTCCTTATCAAATGTTTTAACCGCTTCTGGATGCAGCCTGCTCTCCCTATCCCCCAAGCCTAATTGGCCATGGCTGTTATAACCCCAAGAGTAGCACACTAGATCTTCACCACTATACAATTCTCCAGCACTAACCAGTGCTACAATATGCTCATTTCCACATGCAACCTTGACAACAGTGTGACCATGAAAATCCCAAACTGGTGTTGGAGTGAAACTGCTAACAAAAGATAACCCACCTTCTTTGCTTTGTTGTGGGCAGTTTCCCCACATCCACAGCATCCCACCATTATCAATGGCCAGAGATGTCATTCCTCCAGCTTTGACAGCACATATCTGAGAAAGTAGAACAGTTGAGAACACATCAATTGTGCAGTCACCTTGGCTAATGTTTTAGATTAAAAAATCAATACGATTCATGTTATACCTTAAGTGATGTTTTACCTTCTTCTTCAGACACAGCTGTTGAGGAATCTGGGGGGTGCAATTCAAGAAATTTGTTCAGTACGACGGGAACTAGAGAATTGTCTCCAACAGCATATTTATCATCATGCAAGTCCTCTCCATTTATACCAAGTTGACCATCTATACAGTAGTCAAGGGTGTAGATACCAGTACATAGTATAAAATCAACAAATTCTAGAAGTAAATCGGTAATATCTGTAACCAAGATCCACTAAGGTAATGGGGGACTCCATGCATATTGAGGATACAGATATTGTAACCCCAACACCAAACAGCTCCATCATCTGTTAACACGCAGAATGAAGAATTAGATATGGGAATAACCTTCAGATTCAAATCAGCTGAACCAGCCTAAGTTTGCCGTAGATAATTGATAATGTTTCATATCTGGTTGATAAATCTAAAAGCGCACATGTTAATAACTCCTACGAAAGTTTAGTAGCAAGGTTAATAATAACTAGGCCACTTTAGCTTAAGTGCACATCATGGGAAAGGGAGATTTGTATCCAAATATCCCTTTCCCTGGTTAGCAATTTCTAGCTTTCTCAGACAAGGAGGAAAAGAAATAAAAGATATAACATGTATATTCATTCACTTCATTAAATATCCACTGCAATTGAGAAGTGCAGAAATTTTATCGGATGACTTCAAATTATTTCGTTTTGCCTATTTTCATAGATTTATCTTAACCATTATCACTGCTGCCAATAGCATGTATAATTCAACTGTTTCTCATTTGATTTGATGAAGCATAAACCAAGCAAACAAATTACAACATTATAATGCAGGTTTTATTCACTTTTTTATTCTAATTGGAAGGTATAAACATTGAAGTGTTCCATAACCTGCAAGAGCAAGACTATGATAAGCACCGGCAGCAATTCCCACTATTTTGACAGTGTCTTCTTCGGTTCCATTAGGGTTTCCAAACTTGACTTGTACTGGAAAAAGCTCGTCTTTTTCTGACCCAATCCCAAGCCGACCAAACATTCCTCTACCCCAACAATAAACACTGCCATCCCCTTCATGTCACAAAATTCAGCAAAGACACAAACTTTTCAAAGATGTAGTCTCAGATATCAATTTCCATTAATTGAGGAGAAATTTGGTGTGTGTTGAATTTGCCTTACCAGTAAGAAGGAGAGTGTGTGCTTCCCCCGCATCCACGTCGACGACCTTACGCGATAGGTCGCCGGAGTTCAGATATTTCCCGGCGTCTTCCATTGCTTCCGACTGCAACACAGCCAGAAAACAAACTCTCTTTATCCAAACAAGTAAAAGAAAAATAATACTACACAAGACAAGGGAAAATAAAATAAAATTTTAGATGATTAATGTCATATTTAGTTGAATATTAAGTTGATAGCTTATATTCTTAACGTGATTTCATTGTTAAAGAGTTTTTCTTTTAGTTTTAATAATTTGCCTTAGATTAATTATTTTTTTATTTTCTTTAACCATAACAACTTAATTATTAAATTAATAAATTATATTCTTACTTTTATATATTAAATTAAAATGTATAATTTAAGAATGATTTAATATTTTAATACATACACTTTTTAAAACATAACAAATGTTAATTTAAATTATATCTTTTACAAAATTTGATTATTTATATTTTTAAAATTATAAGCATTTTTTAATAATTTTTTTGAATTTTTAATAAATTAATTATGTATAATCTATAATTTAAAATATTTTGATGAATTAATCTTATGATATAGAATTTTAAAATAATCGCACGATTTACCAAAATACTTGTCAAATATATGAAAATTTATGTACTAGAAATTTGTCTCAAGGACAAGTTGAAAAAATTATTTGACTAATAAATTTCAGTACAAAATAAATGAATCCAAAGTTAAAAATTAATAAATAAAACATATAAATAAATTTTCAAAGAATTTTTCATTCTTATTTTTTAGATAAAAAGTACGATTTTTATTTATTTTATTGTAAAAAACAATTGTTTTATCAGCTTTTTAAAAAAACTTTCAAAAAATAATTATTTTAAAATTTTAAATATTATCTAATTTGCATAAACTATCAAAGAATTGTGAAAAAAGGAAATTACTTTTAGGCTTAATGACCTTAATAATACTATTTTAATTACTTATTACTAAAATAAAATAAAAAGAAATTTTTTTTCTGTCTAAGGCAAATTTTTGCCACATAAATACCTGTTTCATATAAAAGTCAGACATAATTAATTTTTTATTTTTTTAATTAATGCAATTCGTTTAAAAAAAGGACGAAATAGCATGAATATGACAAGTGTCTAAAATTTTGTACATGAGAAAGGCAAAAATGGGAAAAATTTTGATTTTGCTGCTTTAGGGCCATATGGACCAATGAGGGACTTTCATCCCTTATTCAAACGAAACCATTATTTCATCTTCATTTAAGACGAAATAGAAATATGTCGACACATGTATAAATCCTATTAATTTTGCCTTTATAGAAGACAAAAATCATATTATTCCCTGAACAATTATCGGTGACTACACCCTAATATCCATAAAAATTTGGTTATATAATCCTACTATCGCTGGATTAAAATTAGAACGAAGAAAAGCTTGAAATCAAGACTTGGAAGACTTCCAAAAAAAATTATAAGGTTAGTTATAAATTTTGAAAAATTTGTTGAAAATTTTGTATTTTTTATAATTGATTAAAATTGAAATAATTTATTAGTTAAAATTGATAAATATTTAGTAAATATATTTTTGTATATGTTGGAATTAAAAAATAATTTTTTAGATATTGTTAAAAAATAAAAAAATATATTAGTAAATGTTTAATATTATTATGATGTTAAAATTGATGTTATATTTGTTGTGAATTTTTATTTTATATATGTAGAATACATATGTGAAATGAGTAGGATGTTTGTATGTTTTAATAATAATTTAATTTAATTATTTATATAAATAAGTATAGTTGTAATTGTTTATTAATATTATATATTTTGTTATAAATGCAGGATGAGTGAGATTATTGTTATTATATATTGGAATGGAAAAATTGTTATTAGAAATGAAGGTGTGACATTTGAAAGTAACAAAAAAATGATAAAGATAAGAAGAAGAATAAGTTTTATAAATTTGAAAAAAAAGATTCATGACAAGTTGAATCTTAGTAATAATTGTTTCATATCTAGAATAATTTCTTGTTTTATGTTTGATTCAAGCGCTAAACAATACACTGCATTGGATATAAGTGATGATGAAGATATTGATTGTATGATTAGTGCGTATCAAAGTATTATAACTGTTATTGAATTATATGTAGATATTGCATTTGATGAAAGTTCAAGAATTTGCTCAAATATGTTGGATTTAAGTTTATTAATATCACCGCCTAACCTTATGGACATAGTCAATATAAATGATACAGAAGATATAAATTAAATTATTATTATGAATATTGATTTATTTTTACCAGCAAAATATATTGAATAAGTGTATATATTTTGAAGGATGTGCAAATTTATGCAATTATGAAGATGAAGATGAGGATGAGGATGAAGATGAAGAAGTCAACAGTGATGGTGATGATGTTGATGAATGATATATTCCGTTAGACAGCTCATCAGATTATTTTCTAATATTAAATACGAAATTTTCATTTTCATATTTATATATTTTCTAATTATTAATCATCTAATGTTATATAACTATTATAATTTTTCTATTCTAAATATTATTTAACAATTTATTATTGTGTTTAATTTATCTAATTTATTTTAATTTGATTTTAAATTTACACCTTAAATTACTATAGTAATTTTACATGCAAACTTTTTTTTTTACAAATTAAAATTAATTTTATATATCTATAAAATTACTAAAATAAATTTAAATTCATTTCTTAAGGTTGTTTGTTTATTATAATCATTTGGTTGTGCACACTTTTCCGACAAACACACTTTCCCAACAAGATTAAAATGAAGGTACCTAGTGTAGTTTTTTCGGCGATGGAAGACTTCAGTCACAGTGGTAGACTCTGCAGTGTGTGGCGTGGCTCCAGTGACCACCTCTACCTTTCTTCTTCGTTGTGGATGACGGTAAAACAGGATGTCAGTTTTGCCAAAATCCTCAACCGTCCAGTCCAGGAACATAGGCAACCGGCAATAGAAGTGAACCAAATCACAGTTCTGCAACGGATTAAGAACAAAATGACCTTGCTCACTCAAAAATACTGAAAACAAACAAGATAAAATGCTGAAGGAGAAATTTGGCTATGGCTGTTTTCGAACTAGAGAGGGGAAAGGGAGAAAGAGGCTTTCACAGTGACCGTTTGCTTCAGGGCCACGTCGACTAATGAGAGACTTTCGTCCCTGACTCAGACGAAATAGTGATTTCATCTGAATTAGGACCAATAAGTCCCTTATTGGTCCACGTGGTCTTAGCAGCAAAATCAAATTTCAAAATTTTCTCCTTTTTCGCCTTTCTCGTATACAAAATTGCAAACACCTATCATATTTGTGTTATTTCGTCCATCTTTTAGATGAATTGTATTAATTAAAAAAATAAAAAATTAATTTTATTTGACTTTTATACGAAACAGATATTGACATGACAAAAATTTGTCTTAGACAAAAAAATAATTTTTATTTTATCTTATTTTGATAATAAGTAATTAAAATATTATTATTAAGGTCATTAAGCCATTACTTTTGTACAATTTTATTAAAAATTATAAAATACAAAATAGATCTTACAATATATTTTCTGACTGTCTCCCTAAAACATAGTTGTGTGATAATAATGTGGAGAATGTCGCATTAGGTTAAGATTATACTTATTTATAAAATAAATTATTTGAACAAACATTTAATCAATTAAAATGTTTGATTTTAAGTCATTGAAAAAATCTTCTGAAATTAAGTAACAGTGGAATGAAACAAAATAAAATGGAGTCAATTAAACCATAAAGTTAACATATATTATTATTACTATTTTTATTATAAAATTTTATTTAAAAAGTAAATTATATTCTCCTCCATTAAAAATATAAATATATTATTTTTTATTTTACTTTAACATATTATAAGTTTTTCTTTTAAAGAATTAAAATGTTTTATAATTTAATTTTTTTAAAAATACTGTTGAATATTTTTTAACATATTTTTTAGCAGAATAATTTTTAAAATAAATTTATATTTTTAATTTTTTTTAAAAAAATGAACAATTTCATATATTATTTAAGAAAGAGTAAGGACTTATTGTTATTATAAGAGTTTTAAAATTTTATCTTGATATTAAATCATAAAAATAAAGTTAAACATTTTATCAGAATTAATAAAATATATAAACTATAGATAATTTATAATTTGAATATAAAAATATTTAAAGAATTATAACATACAGATAAAAAGTTGGCAATAAAAAATAAATTGAAAACAATATAATACATGTAAATATTAAATTAAATATATTTTAACCGTACACAATTAAATAAATTGAATAATATATTTTATAATAAAAAAATAGTGTGATATCTATTACTCTTGCTTAAAAACTTAAATTATTGGTTACTTTCAACTTTTAGCAACCTAAATTACTACCAAGTCTGATATTTAATTCATGACCCATTTACCAATACTTGCAACCTTAAATGCTTGTATGCACTTAGCTTAGGAGATGACAGTTAACAAGTCATGTTTCTCATCTTATAGGTTACACCAAGCTGGATTGCATGATGAGGAATGACTTCTATAATAAGTTAATGCCAACACCAACACACCAAATATAAACAATATTATATTTCTGTTATTTTACTAATATGAACATTAATTTAAAGTATTAGAGTGTCTTTGTACAGTTCTATCATCGTCATAAACCCACATATCACAATTGAGGTTGTCTTTATCATATTGTCTAGCTTGAACCAACTTATCATTGGCTCCATCTTAGCTCAGTAAAATCAAATATAATTAATTTTAAAAAATCATTTTTAAAATTTAAAAAATATTTTACTAGTCTTCTTAAAATAAGATATTTTTCAAGTCTTATGATCTTGGACTTGAAAACAATTCTACTCATACAAAAAATTTAAAACCTATTATTAAACTGTGTAAAAGTAAGTGTAATTTTAAAAAAATTAATTTATACTTGTTAAAAAACAGAATAACACATAAAATATATTAAAAGGCTTTCCCTAGCATTTTTCTAGATTTAGTTTGAGCACCATATAACAAAGTTTGGGCTGTGCTGCTCCTGCTGCATGTAAATCATAAAACACCTGGCAACAAAACAAGTAATTAAGCAATTACTAAAAGCCGCAATTACTTGCAACGTTAACAAACCACAAAAAATCTGGCAACAAAACGTAACAACTACATCGACAATATTCTAACTACTTGCAACATTAACAATTTCCGACCCTTCTTTACAAACATCTAGATAGTTAAACATTGATTTTGATTCTTTAACACAGGAAACATTCAAATATATATATATATCTACATTAGACTTAACCAGTGCAGAGACCCCCACCAAGATGTGCCACGTCATCTTCGCTAACATATGCAGAGAGATTCAGATACTTATCTTGCTCCGCTCTATCCCTCCATCTCGCTCTACAAATCACACAACTAGCTGTTCTTCTTCCCTTGCTTCTCTTCCACCTCATCAAACACTCTTCATGAATAGGGTTACGGCATGTTCCACATGCCACCAACTTCTCTTCCCTACCCATTTCCTCAAGACAAATAGGACACGTGGCACCATCCTCCATCTCTATTGTTGCGCTCGTTGACCCTTTGTCAAAGAACAATTGGTGAAACCTTTGTCGCAGGTTGCCCCCTGCCACTGCCTCTCCCAACGTGGGCATGTTGAGAAGACGTTGAAGCTGGCAGGGACGAAGGGTTCTTCTCCTGAGACACACATCATCGAGGGACACACCCAAAACTCGAATCAAAACGAAAAGGATGTGTTTGCATGGGGTGGTGCGGTCAGGGCACGTGCATGAAGGGCTGCTTGATAAGGTTACTGTGTACACGTTTCCGGTGGCACCGAATATGAAGAAGGTGGAGCCAGAACGGTGGAGGAGACGGAGGTGGTGGCGGAGGGCGCGAACTATTCGGTCTGAAATGGGTTGGCTCGGTTTGAGCCGAGGGTAATGGTGGTGGTGGTTGTGGCGGTGATTGTTGTGGTTTAATGGAGAATTAGAACTTGAGGCAAGAGAGTCCATTATGGGATGGGGGAAATTAAGGTGGTTATTAGGACAGTTGGGAAGGTAGTTGGTGGTTGAATTTAGAATTTAGGATTTAGGAGAATATGTTGTTGGTTGTGGGTTATGTAGTTGGAATGTGGATGGGATTCCTTGTGTGGCTTTGGGGGACACGTGAAGGAATATGGATGGATGATGGGTGAGGGAATTTTGTAGGGTGGAGAATTCCAAACCTTAACTTGCCAACTTCGCTAGTGTTTTTGTGGAATGGTGGTAAACCATGCAGCACGCTTTAGCAAGAGGCCCAAAAACCTGTCATTGATACGTAAAATGCACACATTGATATTTGCTATACCTTGTATCGCAGCCCAAGTTTTCTTATCTACTTTTCTTTGTTATGTTTTACCAGTTCTCTCCAACCTCTCAAATTGGACACTGTCAAGTTTGTTATATATATATATACGCACACACGAGGAATTTTGATATCTTAATAAGAATTAGCGTATTATTCTTCATGGATGCCTTTGTAATAAATGAATGTGTTTTATGATTTCGAGATTTTTTATGAGGACTTAAAATTGGAATTTTTTTTTACTTTATTGGGTATTGACTTGCTATAAGGAGTTCTTATGTACGTTGGATTAAAGTGTAAGAACAGATTACTTGTGCACTAATAAATAAAGTCGACAGTAAAACGTTTAACATCTCATGATGGAACATTTTTTCATTCCTCCTATCTTTTCCTCCTCCTTAGACTCTTTGGTGGATATCCCTTGGACTTCACTGTAATGATAGAGTCCTTCCTAATCTAAACATAATAATAAGCTAATAAAAGAATGCAAATTGAGCTGTTTAATGTAGTAGATGTATGACTCACCTAAAAATTTCTAAATTATAATTCTTTTCACGTTGGCTTAATTTTTCCAGTTGCTAGCATTAAAGGAAAGTAAATAGAATAGAATAAGTGGTTGAATTATTCTTAAAAGGATATATAACTGTATATATGGAGCAATTAATTAGTTTGATATTGTTGCTTAAGCAACCTATGTTAAATATTCTATCAGAATAAACCAACAATATCAGTTATGGTTCTTATGATTTATCAATATAAAAACTTCTGATTTAAACTCGCGTAAATTATTTGTGAACCAACTCCTATTCACTCCCATTACTATTCTTGCGTTTTTGCCTCATATTGAATCAAATACCTACGTATAAGATGAACTGTAGTGTGTGTATATATATACCCGCCAAAAAACCCAATTCAATTCTGACTAATAGGTTTCTCAATCCATTTCTTTTAAATCATTATTGGATGAATCTGTTTCAAATTCAAATCAAAACGTTAATGCATTTGAAACAGAAAATAATTAAAGTTTAATTACAAATTACTCACACAATCAAGAACGTAGTTTACGTTCTTTATAGGTTGACAGAGGGTAATATAACCAAGTTAACAATTTTGGAACAGTATTAACGCAGCAAGAGCACCTGAGCGTTTCTTAATTATTCAAGCCATTAATATTTTAGTTCTACATGATTTAATAATTATTAGGTTCCACACTAAACCGGACAACAAGAATAACCCAACAATTTACATTTGGATATTGCATACCTTGTAAATTGATACTGTCTCGTGTTTGTATTCTCTTTGCCCGCCAAATAAAATCTGGAACCAACATAAAGATATATATATGTGATAAAATTATTATAATAATAACAATCACAGAAACTTTTTAACATAAAGTACTAAATAGCAAACTAGCAATTTAAAAAATAACACCAGCAAGAAATGGATTCATCCACCAGTGTACTACAACATTCATGGGACCCTAAGGGCAGAACAAAGGGGGTCCTAAACTAATGCAGGAAGAGTGCACATAATCTAATATAACAAATTAACTCCAAACCACTCTTTATCATCAATAACCCCAAGGCAAAATGGGTGTTCATAAAACATTCAATCAAAGCACTCAAGGAAGCAAATTTGGACAAAACCATTTGACAGAGAAGTACCTTACACTAGACAGGTTGTTCTATGACGGGGTAGCAGCACACGGGATCTTCAAAACGACACAGAAAAAGAGGGTAACAAGTTCAGAGGAAAAGAAAACTCAACCCCAGAAACGCATGAACGGAAAAGCGGTTTCCCATCAACATTCAAACTCGTAAATGTCTCCGATACTCTGCCACTGCGTAGATATTTTATTATATTAAAAATATAGTAATTTTTCTTTTTTAAAAAAATTACTAATTAGGTTAACATTTTCCATTTTCACTCTTTTATTTACACGATCTTCATTTTTTATTTTTTTTTACATTTTACTATCAATACTGATATAATTAAGGTACAATATAACGATATTATTAATTATAACACATATTAAAAACATTATAACTATTATTTACTTTATAATGAATATTTCATATATGTTTTAATATCAAACAGTTATAACACTTTTTATAAATAATTTAATTTTTTTCAATTGTATCGTAAATAAAGTATATTAACAATTATATATTTTATACATCAAATTTATATGTTAAGAAAATAATTATTTTTCTTTTAAGATAAACTTATAAAAATTTAGTATATTTTAAACAAAACATTTATTTAATGTTAATTTTAAAGGATTTGAAAGTGTGTATTTAATATTATTTCTCTCGTTCATAAAATGTATTCAATAAAAATAATGACTGAATTGAATTGAAATGACTAATTATTAAAATACACTTTCTAGTTACCTTTATTAAACAAAGTTTATTAAAATTTTATATATCTTATACGCTAAATTTATATTTTAGGAAAATAAATACTTTTTAAAAGGAATTTTATAAAAGTTTCATGTATCTTAAATAAAACATTTATTTAATATTAATTTTAAAGCAATTTAACAGTGTTAAAAGTGTGTATTTAATGTTATTTCTCTTGTGCATAAAATGTATCCCATAGAAATAATAAATAAATTGAATCGAAACAATATTTATAAGAAATAAAATTTAAGTGAAATATCATAGATTCTACTAGCAATATTATCTAATTAAAATTAAAAATTTTCTTTTATAAATCACATAATAAAAATTAACGTTAAACGTCAGAATACATTACTTGAGCAAATTTTTAATCTTAATTAAGAACAACACAGAAAATATTCACAATGCTACACTTAAATTTGGCCTATTATAAGACTTTCCACAAAATTTTATAAATATTTAATTATTCTTTTATATATTTATTCTTGTCATTAATTTTTTTAATTTCTCAACGATTCACATAATAGTAAAGTTTCACCTTACCAAAATCATTAATTTTTTTTAATACGTGTAATTTAGTAACAAAATTTCTATCAAAGTGACCAAAAGAGAATGTGGAATAAATATATTTTTTCCTTTAATGAATTTAATTATTGTTATTTTTAATAATTGTTTTTCTCTTTCTCCATGTATGTAGTCAAAATGTTTTTTTGGTACGACCACATATGATTATTTCTTAATTTAAACAGTACATTTAGCTTTAATTAGTAATTCCTTTCACTTGTTTATAATTTTAAGTAATAGGTTATAAATTATTGCATTTAAATCTTACTAGTCAAGTTAATTTTTTATTGTATTAATTTAATTTTTTTTATAAATTATAGTTTAACAAACTTTAAATTTTAATATTTTGATTTCTTTGAAAAAATTAGTAAAATAATTTAAACTTAATTAAATATTTAAAATTTCATAACAATAAGATTAAGGTAGTAAAATTTATAAATATTATATTATATAAAAAATGCTAATTACTCCAAAAAATTTATATTATATACTTTTTATTTGTATGGATGCACATATATATATATATTTTTATTTCAGAAATGTTTCAAAATTATTACTAAAAAATAGAAAAAAATAATACATCTAATTGTAATTTAATGAAAATGAAAAAGAAAATGATTTTTTAACGCAATAAATATTTATTGTAATTGAAGATGAATATGTTATTATATTCTTGAATTATATTTAAATTATTTAAATACAAGGTTATGTTTATTATATAAAGAAATATGTAACCATTAATACATTTAAAAAAAAAACACGTTGGTGTTCTAAATAAATGTTAGAAATATATTTATTTTTTTATTTTTAAAGTATACTTGAGAGAAAAAAAGCAGAAAAAGAATAAAAATAAATAAATGCATATAAAAAAAGATAAAGAATAATAAATCTGGCAAATTATACTTAAAGAATCTAAAAAATATCAATAATACATTTTAAAAAAATATGTCAATTATTATTAAATATTAAAATCAGAATTTATATGGAAAATGTTCGAATATACATGACAAAATTGCTTATATAACTCATTCAATATATGATATATAATAGTTATTATTATTATTTACGTAAAAATTACATGAATTTGAGTTTATATTAAATCGTAAATGCAGGAACACGTACAAAGTTTCATAATTTTAACAAGACATTTGAAAGGTATAAATCGAGAAAAAGTACTTATATAATTTAAAAAAAAAAAAAACTTAATCCTAAATTTGTTCTGCCCAACGGCCAAAGCAGAAACGAGTAATCAATCTTATTCGGTTTCTCCACTCTCGATATCTGATTACCCTTTCGTGCTTACAATAAGAAGAAAGTAGCAATTCAACTTCAAAAATTCAACCTTTGCTTGGCCATCCATGCCCTTTCTCTTCATTCAGTGTAGAGTAGAGACACCCAATGTTCTTTTCCAACCTTAAATCTAATCAACCTCGGAACCAGGTTTGTTTATGTCTTTCACTCTCTACTTCTCTCCTCCTTTGTGTTCTTTGTTCCAACAATTACAAAATCTGGAAGAACAAAACGGGTATTGGCCTCTTTTACTATATCCCCATGAATGAATATTTAGGGAAATTCATATTTTTAATGCATATTTGACATACAAAGTGCTTTCTTTTTTCACAAATGGTTTCGCCCGCCTCTCCTATAATCATGCACCTCTCTCCCAGAATAAGGGCTAGTCCAAAATTCATATTTTTAAGTTGCTTCTTTTTACTCATATTGGGAACCATATCAATTCTATATTGTAAGTTTATATAAGATGTCTACCTTGAATATGCAATTTGTTTGCCTAAGTTATTATTATTGATGTTGTTTGCGTGTAAACGCAGCAACAACAGAAACAAAATGGAGAATGGTTAGCAGGAAGTTTCAAGCCAGAGAACTTCATTCCAGGTCTTGTTGTAGGTTTCATTTTTGGGTTGCTGTTAGATTTATCAAAGCGCCATGGAAATCACTTGCCCAAGAAATCTTTCTCATCTAGCAAGCATCAGCAGCAACTCTCAGTCTCAAGCAGTGGCGGTCAAGAACTTAAAATGGTTAGTTCATTTCATCATATTCATCACTCATTATGGGAGCTTTACCTGTCAATGGTTATTCAATGTTTGTCAATCTGTGATAGTTGATTATTTGCACATTATGTATACAATTTCTTCTAGTTTGTTCGAAGGATATACTTGATTGAGGTGTTGCCTTTACTGACCAACCTGTATTTTGCTCATTTAGAAGGAAAGTTTGCATAGTGAACTCATTCGATGATCACATTTACACAAAATAAATCTCAACAATCAACAGTTATGTCTTCAACTTTTGTTCCTAACAAATGAACTTTTAAGGAGACAAAATACTATTTGATACGCAGAATAACTCAAATAACTGAACAAAACACTGGTATTACTCCATAACTTCTGTATTTTTTTCTTTAGTTTCTTTAAAAGTAATCTGAAGCCGTTGAAATACAAAGACTGACTATATCAATGCTTTTTATTATTTAATAATTAGTTTAATTGAACTCCTCTTCTGTTTCAGAAAATTTATGGGCAGGGTAAATAGATGTAACGTGCATTACTTTTAATTGTGTGGAACATCTTCCATCGTGTGTTTAGAAATTTCTGGTTTAAATGATAGCTGTTTTGTGTCAGGTTCTGGTTGTTAGGCAAGACCTAAAGATGAAATCTGGAAAGATTGCATCCCAATGTGCTCGTAAGATATGAAACCGTTGTTAATTTTTTATCTGTTTTTCATTTCAAATTTGTTAAGGATCTCTTTTCATCCATTACAAATTCGTTATTATTCAAATTTTTATGCCTTTACATTCACCTTTTGCTGCAGACGCTGCCACTGGCATGTACGCAGAATTAATGCAAAGGTACTTTTGTTCTGATAAGTCTTCGTATAGCATTTGAATCTCTTCTAGTTCTGTATTGGTGGCCCTCCTGCCAATCCACCCTTCTGCATCTCCTTAATGAAAAAACAAGACCACTAACATAATGTTTAAAGAATCTGTCCATGTTGTTAAACTTTCTAGTCAATTTTTTTAGGCACTGGATGGTGGCCTTTTTGGTTATAGGTTTACATAATCCTATGCTGGGGTGACTTGGTTGTCAATTTATTTTTTGAGGTAGGGGACTTATTCACACTTTTAGACACACATTGCAGAGTTGATTGTGCTGAAGGAAGTAACTTCCTTTACCTCTAAAGCAAAGGAAAATGGGAATTTTACATGTTTAGTTTTAAAAAGTTCAGTATTGAACATGAAAATGATGAATTGATGATTCTTCAACACCAGTGGTTTTGCTATGCTTCATAGCCATGCTGTATCATTGATGGCATAGCTCATTCAGGCAATATATATTTGGTTGTTATCCTTGTTGATGTATTTAACTCCAGTACCATGTCCTTTTGCAGCGATCGTTCTCTTTTGAGACGATGGGAACAGTGTGGCCAGCCCAAAATTGTTGTGACTTGCAGGAATCAACAGGAAATGTAAGCAGGTGATTTTATTCTGCATACTGTAAATTTAGTTCTTGCTCAGAGACCCACATCCATGACTTTACTTTTTATCAGGAATAAACTAAAGGAAACAGCTGAAAGTATTGGTCTTCCTACTTTTGTCGTTGCTGATGCTGGACGAACACAGGTAATACTTGAGATGTGGCTCAATATATAGAATAGCACCTTAAAAACCAGCACAGAATCAGTACTTAGTGACAAACTCGTGAAATTTTCATTAGTAACGTCTTAGCAATGTAAAAGTGTTGAAGTAGAAGGGCTGGCTTCCATCTCCTCACACCCTTTCATGGTTGGTGCCTGTAGTATTATTGTTAAGGCTTTTATTTCTTCAGGTTTTGGCAGGATCAAAGACTGTACTTGCTGTTGGACCTGGTAAGCTCCCTGATGCTTTGCACTTGTCCTTGAGTTGTTTTTGTTGTTGGTATTATTTCCTGTATGATCCAAAACGTGTGCAAGAAAATCAAAATACTTATGCAGTTAACTGAACAGTTGAATCAAAATACCAAAAGTATTTCATGTACTTGTACTTGAGTTGTTTTTGTGTTAAGTACTTGACAAAGAATCTGCTGCTTTCTGATTGAATGCCTATACATATTACTGGATTTGTGTCAGGACCAAAATCTTCTGTGGATTCTGTGACTGGGAGGTTAGCCCTGCTTTGACAGCATTCAAGCAGAGTGTTCTAATATGATGAATCACCTCCCAAGCTTGTTATTCCTTAGCCCTTGATCTTTGTTCTGGCGTGTTATCTGGAATTTATAATTTATTGGCCGATTAGTGTATCCTAATTCCGGCCTATGTAACAAGGTTAAGGTGGTTTTGTAGTTCATTGTGTTCAATAGGACTAATTCTTAATTGGAACCCGTTTCCTTTTTATACTTCTAATTGCATGAATTTCACTATCCTGGCTCCTGGGGTTGAATGCAACACTTTCATATTTATCTATTGCGTGCATTCCTTTTGTCACGCGTCTGCATGATTGCATGCTGTATAAGTTCATTAACCTTAAAGATAGAATATTAGAAGATATGTGTTAACCAGTGGTAGTTGTTATTGGTTAAGGTCGTAAAAGTTGAAAATGTTTTTTCGAAAGAATATTTATTATATAAAAACATGAAAGTTATTCGATATAAGTAATTGAGATCAATGGCCTATATTAGATGTTCTCTATTTTCCAGGAACTTTGTTAAATTTGAATCAGATAAAAACCTATGGAAATTGTTGAACCATGAAAACCAAGGATTAACTCCTGATGAGTGTACCGTTTCGTGCAATGTTATTTGAAGATAAATAAACAATTTTATTGAATTCTTTCCTATTGCTACTGTTTGTTTTTTATTGAAGAATAAAGAGTTATTTTTATTAATTGTAAAATTGATAGTTAAGATTTTATATAATTACACAATATATTATAAATGCTTATTTTAAGAATTAATTTATAATGAATGATTATAACTCTTAATTTTTCCTTAAAGTGAATCTTTCACTTTTAAAAAAGTCAAATTTGTTAATAATTTATAACAAAGAATGCACTCCGTATGAGTTTTCATATGAATAAAAACTGTTTTCCCTTTAATTTTCTCTAATATTAGAAGGGCGAGATAAAAAAAATGAAAGAAAAAAAATTAAATTAAAGTTTTTATCTCAATATAAAAAAAAACTTTTTTTGGGTTGAAATGAGATAAGGAGAAAGAAAATATTTTTATTTAATTTGTAAGTAAAGAGAAAAAAATCTAATTATTACTATATTTTATTTTTATAACAGTTAAATAAAATTATTAAACTTAAGCATTTAAATTAAGGATATTTATGAACTACATAATTTATACTTTTGTTTTACTCCTCTACGAATTTGAAATTCCTATGAATCCCTTTTCTTTTTTCATTAAAAAAAAGTAAAAGAAAGAACGAAGGCCAGGAAAAACAAGAAGAGTGAAAAGGATAAAAACCTCAGCAAAACCCTTTTCCCTTTAGTTTTCAGGTGAGTCTTGGAAGCTCTAACTGCGTGAAATTTGGGAGGTGGCGATTTGTTGCTGCAATGGCTTCTCGTTATAGATCCGTTTCACGACCAGCACTATCCCTAATAAAATCCACCATTACCAAACCAGCTACGAACCCTAACCCCTCAACTTTTCTCCTGAAAACCCGTTCTTCCGTTACGGCGAGGCAAGTCTGTTTCGTCCACGTTAGGGATAAAGTAATACTTTTTCTTGTACCCAATTGAATGTTATGTTTGTGTGTTCAGGTGGGTGAGTGAGTTGGGTTGCGTGCAATCATTGCTTCCCCTGCACTCGGCGGTGTCATCAGCACGACTCACTTCTTGTCTCGGCATCGATTCAAGGAGTTCGAGGTCGCTGTCTCAGGGTATGCTCTGCAGTGCCAACCCCGGAGTTTGATTTCTCCAATTCTTTTTTACCTTTCCTATCTGTAAGCCTTGCAACTTCCACTCTTTGAATCTTAATAACATCCTAAGTTTTACCGAAAGTCTCGGTTCTGTTAGGATAATTCTGAGTTGTGGTTATAAGTATGACGTAATTATCATCAAAGCCATTGATTAAACATAACACAAGTAATCCCAATTCCTTATCTATTATGCGTCATAATCTCAATGCTTGTTTTGTTTTATTCAAGATTATACTGATTGCAGTTTGTACATTTTTGCGATGTGAGATTAGAGTTTTTCTTAGGAAATGGCCTGTGGACTATTGTTGTCCATAGTCATTGTGAACAGCTGATAATCAGAGGGGAATAAAGATACATTCTGCATGTACGTACAGTATAAGCAGCTGTGAAATTTATATTGAGAAGAGAAGTTGTAAGAGTTAGAAATTGTAATGGTTCATTCTTTGTGTCTATTAGGTCCTTTTAAGTGTGTAATTTTTTGCCGTAATTTTTCTTTTTTAATAGTGAATCTAAATGTCTCACAATGGGATTGTAGTATAATTCCAAGTTTGTGTTTGGGTTAGTGTTTGCAAACTGTATTTTGGTTGGTTAAAACTTAAAAGTGGGTCGTGTGAATTGATTTTTGTTTGGAAACATTTATTTGAGAAGTGAGTTTGGCATACGGTATGTTGTTTGGATAATGTTGACAAAAATATCTATAATTACTAGCAAGGATATGAATTTCCTTATTTGATATTATTAAAATTGTAATATACTATTAAGTCAAGAGGATATTTTTAATTCTTTTATTGACAAACACGAATGTGGTTTTACTCAATGTAAAAGCAACACCCTTTTAGTTTTTTTTTTTTTTTTTTTTTTTGGGGGGGGGGGGGTTGTGGGGTTAAAACCAAGGTTTGGCCTCTCCAATACCAAACCAAACACGCTCTAAGTTGTTTGTGCTTACTTGTTATGTTGATTGTCTGTCACTTTTGAAGGCCATGCATAGGAATTAGGAAAGCCTTGATTTTCATTATGATTAAATGATTTATCCCGTTGTACGGTGCACACATGCTCACCAACTTACCCTTCAAAACCTTCATTGTTGCTCTTGGATTTGACTAAAAACTGATTACTTAGGTTTCATAAGAACATTATCTGTACCTAAATGGTATTAAAAGAGGTAGAGTAGATCACATTTGATGCAGTAATAAAGTATTACTTGTTAGCCCGAGATCAGAACTTAAATTGATGTTATTGCATTCAATATTTTTCTATCTAGAAAATTGTTATGCATATGTATTTGATCATCCATATTTTTGGGTAGAACTTTTGAATTGGTAGCCCTTATTTTAATCAATGCTCACTTTTCTGCCGTTATGAAAACCTTCTAAACACTTCACTTTTGATAGTGCACACTAAATAAAGAAGTACTCTGTCTAGTTATCAATCCTGGATAGCTCTGAAAACACTATAGGGGGATGGCCGCTACTGTGAAATTGCTGGTATGATTTTGAGATATAAAAAGTTATATTTATACATATACAAATGCTAAATATTTTAACCCGAGTTAGAGATTAAAAAAATGGTAGAAAGTGACACCTGCAGTAGAGAAAGATGAAACTTGCAAGACCTGTGTCAGAATGTGGAATCTGCTGCACCAAAGGACTGATGGAATAGACCTAGAAGACATGATTGTGATTCATTGGTTTCGTCCATGTGATTAAGCAACACTTCTATAATTCTGATTTTTCAATTTCCTAGTAAAAGCAAAGGATGCAACACATTAGTGTATATATTCCAGCTCAATTCATTGCCTCGTCTTGTTCCTAGCTTTTATACTCTTGATATCTTTGGTCTATATATATCAGTGTCTATTACCTATATCCCTTTACTTGTACTTGTACACCTTTTTCATAAACTGTGGTGAGTGTCATTCTGTAGTTTTACCGTGCTAATGATTGTGTGTTAAATATGTCATTTTCTTGTAAAATAATCTTTCTGGCGTAAGCCAGTACTTATATAATATTTATGTTTTTCAATTTTCCTCAGAAATGGGTCTCAGCACACCGCGATAAGAGATTTTGAAGGCTATTGATCGGTGGGTTAGAGTCATTATTTGCTGTACTGTGATTCTCTACCATTAATTACTTTTAAGCTTTCTTGACAGTTCACTGTAACGGGTACATAGTTGGCAGAATCTTTTGATCTTCTGGTTACTGTTGCAATGGTTCCCATAAAATGTTTGATCATTACAGTGTTAATTGTTTTGAAGATCAATCTATGCCACCATCACATGGTGAATAAAAAACAAAAAATTGGTGATTCACTTCACTATCATCTCTGCTCATGCATGTTCCTGAATACGTTAGCATTATAATCAGGGTATTTGCTTCCATCATCTGAAAGTGTAGTTAGGGGTTTTTATATTTCCTTACTACACACTGGGCACGCACGCACACGTACATGTGAGAAAATATTTCGCACGAGGAGGCATGTGGGCACCTTGTGAACTGAGGAGTACCCATTAGTTACCAAATTACGTTGAGTATACTTTTTTGGTGACATGATGTGCAGGTAAAAAAGTGGGGATGGTAGACAAACAATGACAATGTCTCTGTAAACAGCCTTGACGAAAGAGACTATGTCTCCATGATAATGATACATAAGCATATGGGAGCCTCACTCCTTTGTACCTCTTTGCCTCTGCAACTTTATTTGTCCAAATGCCTAAGAATAGATGCCAAGTGTTCTCACTTTCTCTTCAAGATTTCTGCAAGTACTACCACATTTATAATAAATATATCTGTTAAACTTTTTAATTACATAGATAATAGTTTTAAATTCTCTTGCAATGTGTTTTTTAATCATTTTATTTATTAATTGTATTTATTGTTAATATTTTTATGAAGAAGATTAGTATGAGATTTATAAATAAACACGAGTCATTTTTTTAACTTTTTTTGCTTTTATTTAACTACTAAAAGTATTTTAAAAATTTGTATGAAAATAGCATTTTTTATACAATTCTTTTTTAAAAAATAAAGTAACATTTTTATAATTATAAAAAAATCAGAGAGTCTTTAGTATTACTTGCAATTCCTATGATCATCCAAATGAGGTGGAGGTTGATTCATTGGATTGTAATGTGGAGCATTAACTTTTAATGAACATGGCAAACACTTGAATTAGTACCCTATGCTGAATGCTATTACTTTGTTCAAAGCTCAGTCACGTTAGGGTCTATACTCGTACCTCTCAAAAATGTCCGTATTTAAACTCATTACTCTTTTGGATAATAATTTTAATATTTGTATCCTTATTCATTAAATGCTGATGTATAATTCATTATCTGCATTTTGTTTGACTTGAATATGATATCTCATAATTTTATTATTTAGTAAATTAACAAAACTTGAATATTATTATAATGGTAACTCTTACGATGAATTTTTTTTAGTATTAATTAATCTAACATAATTTAATTGAAAAAAGTATGTCAAGGAAATGCATTTCTTAATTATAAAATATTACAAATGAAATTAATTAACATAATTTAAAAACTGGAATTGTTTTATTTTTGAATTATAAAATTTAATAAATATATCATACAGTTAGGTATTATAATACTTACATTCGCGCATATATATGTAAAATTGTATGAACAATTATCCACATTTCAATTTAGACTCATTTGATAAGTAAAATTTATCCTCATTGTAATTATTTTTGAAGAATACATTTTAAGTTTCGGTGTGTTTATTGCCCCCTTTTTTTTAATATTTTTTTAAAAAATTTATTAAAATAAATTTTTTTTTAAAATCAATTTATTTGTGTTAAGTCTTCTTACTATGTCGTTGTAAGTTTTGTTTTTGTAGATGAAATTTAGATAGTATGATGTATGTTAAAATTTTGGATAATTTTATCCTTATATGAGACGTGAAATTATTTTTATTACTTTATAGAGAAGAAATTATTTATAATTTTGACACGTATCATAATTTTATAATGTGTAACATAGTTTGAAAGAGTTTTTTTTTTAAACATAGAAGAAATAGAACTTTCTTAAATTATACTATGTATCTTCACTCATTTCTATCTATTCAAATTTAAATTAAAAAAAAATCATTTTTATTGCATACAAAACTTGATAAAATTTTGACATGTGTTGTTATTCTAAAGTTTCTTTTGCAATTGGAGCAAAACTCGGGTAAAAAATAAATAAATCAAAGTTTCGCATATGTTAGATGCAAAACTCGCATGGATGTGGTAAAAAAAACTTTAAACAGAAAACATACTTTTAAAAATATTAAAATAAATAAATAAGCCTCTATTGTTATTCTTGAGCATCTATTTTTATTTTCATTTAAGAAATTTTTGTTTAACATACTTTTTTTTTCCTCTTACAACTATATTAATAATAAATAAAATATTAAAATTCCTTACATAAGAGTGACATTAGAGGCTTTCATTAAGTCTGAGTACGATTGCCCATAATCCTAATACTGTATATTTTGCGGGTTGGTCAAAGATATGTGTATGGCTTACTTAATATCTAACTTTCCTTGCTTTCTTTATATAGCCATGGTTTCTCCTTTCTTTATATTATCATGTTTAAGCACCGATATTTTTTATGTTCTGATTCTTGCAAATCATGTTGCATCTGTCACCACCCCTAAGTTAAACTAGGTTTCAAGCCAATTTAATATTTTGATTCTACTAATTTTTTAACTTAAATATGTTATAACCCTGCCCTTAACCAGATAAGTTAAGATCTGGCCAACTCGACTTTTGAATAAAAAGTACAAAATTATAATTAAGACAAAATTTCCAAATGTAAGAATTTTAAATTAAAAACTATTTTTAGTACATGCATTTTAACATAAATTATATCAATACAAAATAGTATCCATTTGTATTTACTTTAAAAGATAATACACAAGTTAATAATGTAATTAATATTTTTAATTACAATAAAAATTATTTTAAACTTCTTAATATGACATCCCTTAATATTCTTTCTAAATTATTACGAGTGTGTCCAATACTTAACAATTTCATGGAAATAATGATACATTTTGAAAAATAGCAACTAAGGTAGTCTTAAAATTTAAAAAGTATATAAATATTTTTTTCAAAATTAAAATAAATAAATAAATAAATGGAAAGTGTATCATATAATTCAAAAGGTATTAATTTAAGTCAACAAATTTTAAGACTACATATTTTTAGCAAAAAATAATAATAATAAATTTAAGACTACATATTAAAGTTACTTAAATTTATTGAAAGGTTGATCAAAAATTTAAATTCATTCTCAATACTGATGAAAGTACTCATAAGAATTTAATATGAGCTGGTTTCATTGTTTTTATTAGAAATAAAGATAAAAATTAACTTAAAAGAACTTCTAAATTTATTTATATTAGAAAAATCTAATATTTAATATTGTAATTTTATTATTTTTTTCTTAAAAAAATCTACTTGAATTTATTAATTTAGAGTTTGTTAAAAAAATTAAAAAATAATTTATTTATTCATTTTAATATATTATTTAATTAAAGATGACACTAAGTAAGGTTTGCTAAAATATTATAGTAGTTAGTACTTATTTCTATATTTGTGTTTCAAAAAAGACTCATCTCCATCTTTATGTTTGATAGATAACAACTTTGATCTACATCCTTATATTTTTTTTATGTACCTAAATTTTTGTATTATCTTCATAATCTGCAATTCAGTTAACTAAAATATATATGAACTATAACTTAAAAAATATTTTTCACACTTTTTTACAGGCTAATATAGAACATCATTTTAAAAAACATTAAACATAATCCAAAATTACAATAAATATGTTACAAACTTTCAATAGTTACTTTTATTGAGTTGCATGTTATTTACTATCACTTTTTAGGGTTAATATATATATATATATATATATATATATATATACTTTAATTATTATATATTGTAAAATAAAATTAATATAAATAAATAAAATTTTCTCCTTATCTTAATTTGAGCCTCCAAAATTTTACGATCGTTTAATTTCATATTATAATATTTTTATTTTATTTTTAGAGTAAAAGATAAAAAAGACAATGAGTACATAGACGATTCATACTTGTACAATTTTGCAAGTATTTTTCTTTTTTGGGTATTCACCGATAAAAATTGTCATCTCTAGTTTTAATAAAAGTGTATGATTCATATTATAATTTATACATATTTTAATTATATTAAAAACTAAAAAATAATTTAATTAAAATAAATTATACCCAATTTTTTAAGTTAAATGGGAACCTAATGTTTGACCCATAGCTCTTATAAATATTTTTATTTTTAGAATTAAGTTCTAAAATTTTTTTTAATATACAGTGTTTTATATTTTCAAAGACAAAAAAATTGGTCTTTATTGTTACATTTTTTATATAAAGATTAAGGAACAAATACTTTTTTTTATAAGAACTAATTTTAATAGAAAAGTATTTATAGAGACCAGAAATTTTTAAAGCCTCACCTAAAATTGTTGAAGTGCAATTTCTATTACCCGAATCCAACCTAATATTTTTGGTCATCTGATCCAACCTAATTTACTTTGTTCCGCAAGTGCTCTTTGGATTGGAGTTGTTCATGAGCACTCTTACGATGGCCAGTTTTTTTAACATCTGTCACTGTAAATAATATAGGTCTAGCTCTGTAATTTTTATTATTATTATAAATAATATATTATCATTCTGAAGACATTTGGATAATTAAGCTTGGCAGCGAAAAAGAAGAATGACCGATAGTTTTACAAATTTGGGCCTCGACATGAAAAATTGTAACAGACATATGCACCTCAATCAAAGAAATTGAAGTTTATGTTTATTGCAAACCCTGATTGTTTTCATTGGTCCCCTGTCAACTGCTGACTTTATTTTTTCACTAAAATGCTTTGTCAAAGAATCTTTATCTGACCTTGCTATTATCTTATATCACTTAATTAATTAACCTCTTTCGTAAATTTGTTCTCTCTCGCGTCGAAGTCAAGAATAAGCTAGACCAGTCATTGCAATATTTTAAAATGAACTAGTTTATAAAGTGTAAAAATAACAAGTTATCTACCGACATATTTTGATAGATTAACATCATAAGAAAAATAACCCAATTCGGGGGAGGAGTACAAAAGAGCATCGAGTGATGGCCAAAAATTAATGCATATAGCTAGGTAGTGAGTAGAGTGACTTGTGAGTAAAATTATGTGCCATATATGTACCTGTTGCAGTCAGAGTGGTGTGCTTGGGCAATTACTCCTTACTAGTGAGCGGTGATATATAACAAATGAGTATTCATTCGTTCACTCATATACACCCACTACACTGACTAACAATGGCTATTGCATGAGGCCATGGAAGAGTGTCATGTGATCACCGCAATTCTAGCTTCCTCTCACTCTAATAATGCATCCCTTCTTAATATAATATACTTTACCATTTGTTTATAATAAGATTTGGGTAGATTAAATCCAGTCCCTACCCTTTTCTTTTTTTTTACTTTATTCTCTGCATATTCTTTTAGACTTTTTATATTATATTGACTGAACAAGAGACACGCAAGATATAATTTCTAACAAAAGAAAAAGAAAAAGACAGAAGATTCATATTTAGCTGCTTACAATTAAATGATTAATTTAACAATGGTAATAGAATTAATATAAAAAGACGTGATATTTATTAAGTGATGATATAATAGTCCTCTGGATTTGTGTTGCCTGAGATAGTACATACAGGTCCACTATAATATAAAATGTATGTATGAAATTCCTTCACTCTCTCCGTTGCTTCCTTTGCATTACTAATCACTGACCCAATGAGCTAATTAGTTGAAAAAAAAATCCTTGGATCACATGGGAATGGAGAAATGGCTGTGAAGTTTCCCTTTTTCTATCCCCCGTCACATGCATTGTTAACTTGATTGAGAGGAGGCAAGAACAAATTCCTTCACGTGCATGAAAAATCATGCTATGCTACTTCAAACTTTGAGAACAAAAAATTGTCTACTCTTACATATACCTTCTCAGTTTTCAGAGGCCACCTAGACGCCGTGGAATCCACATGTGTATAATAACAATCAATTATATTTTTACTCATCTAGTTTTAGAAACGATGTGTGATAGTATCAGATATCTCATATCGTTTTAAAATGGGGTCCTCCTTCCTGCTTCTCCCCACATTAATTATCTCTGTAATTTTAACGGACTAACCTGTAATTACAGCTATTTTCTACGTCGCAGCTTAAACCCTATTCATTGTATTGGATATTTTCATAAGCATCAGACAAGCTAATTATTAGTTTTTTATGTTTAAAATTAATTAACAATATTTAACTGCTCAATTTAAATGCATACTCAATATAATGATGTATTTAAAAGAAGACAAAGAAGAAAATAAAAATACGAGAAATTAAAGGAACAATTATGTAGAAGTAAGTAATATATATTTTCACTGTGCCAAATCCAGTTTGAATAGTTATGTGAGTAGTACTCGAGTCATAACTATTTAATGAATACTATTAGTAAAAAAACAATTAAAATTATACTAAATTTAATTATTAATAAAAAAAATACTCGACAACTAACTTGAATTATCATATGTGAAAAAAACACGCGAAGGTATACCAACAATGACAAATTTACGAGGCAATGTATTTGAAAGAAGACAAGGAGAAAAATAAGATAAGAGAAAGGAACATTTACCTAAAACTGAAAAATTTACGCTGACTACTCAGGAACATGACTGGTATGTAGATTTACCACCAATAATGCGCTGACATGAATGGATGCGGGAAGCTATGCATGCGAATTTTATCAATAAAAATGTCGTCATATCTTCTACCTCGTTCTAATGCTTATCCTGTTATCATATTTTTTTCTCTTTTTGGGACAATTATCCTTTATCAAATGAAACATACAATATACAATTTTAGTTTTTCTTTTTCTACGATTCCAAGTTTACGAGGTTTCGGGCGGTGCCGTGGTAGCTCAAGTCTTTAATTGCTTGAATATCGTTATAGCAACAACGTACGCAGTTATTTTGCCGGAATTAAGAATGAACAAGACTTGGTTGAAGTGTTCCATGCAATAGCCACTGCTTATTAACTGTGAAGCACTTCAATCATTTTAGTGAAGGATTTTCTCCACCATAATATATATATATATATATATATATATATGAGATAAGGAAATTAATCACTTTCATTTTGTAATTTCTGTACTAATTTTTATAGGGATTGGAGCACCAAACAAAATCTACGTACGTACACATTAAAAATTCTCTTCTACCAGGAATTAAACTTACAATATAACAGATTAACAAAAATGGAGTAATTTTAAAGTTGCTTCTATAGTAACACCATTGATAAAAGTCATTCTTTAATTATGAGACTACATATATATGACAAAATTTACTAGCAACTAAAAATTAAAAAAAAAAAACTGCATTGGGAAAATTTTGAGTTTGTGAGATTTCAAGTCTGTCAAAATGACTTGAATAAAACATTAGAGCAGTCTAAATGAAACATAAACTCAAAATTTGGAGGTTACGGAGTAAGAAATTAAATAAAATAAATCCCTAGAAAAATTAGGTAGGAAAAGAAAAGGAAGTGTAGCTACAAAACACCCCTTGGCTCCACCCGAAGTTCCTGCTCTAGCAGCTTACTAGATCAAGTGCGTGAAATCAGGGCCCACATGTTGATGAATCAAGTAATCGTCACCGTTGGATGAGACATCAAACATCACGTTCTGTTGATGCTGCAGTTGGAGTAACTGCTGTTGCTGGGCCCTCATCATTTCCTTCTGGCGCCGGAGCTCCAGCACCTTGCGGTGCGAATTCGAGTGCTTCGTCAGCACGAACGTTGGGCTAGCCGCGGGCCTGTACTCGGGCACCAGCCTTCCCGACTTATACCTCACGCCACACGCATTGCACAGGGTCTTTGGGCCCATGGGCCCAGTCCGCCACTGCGGCGTCTTATCCGTGGCGCAATGCAGGCACTTGCGCCCCTCTCCTCCGTCGGCGGCGTCCCTCCTCCTCGGCGCGGGCTTCTTCCCTGCGTCGAAGTGCGAAGACTCCGACGTGGTGGTCGTGGGAGAGAGCACGACAAGTCGAGAGGTCCAATTGCATGGGGGCCCACGAGACCTCTTGCTGCGGGCCTTTGCCGGAACCGACACTTGCGGGTTGAGCACCGGGTTTTGCTCACGGGGCTGAGAGACGGCGTCGTTTGGCACTTTGATTCCGGATATCAGCTGCAGCTTTTGCAAGTCCTCGCTGGAAAACGATTCCTCTGCAAATTTTGATAGCCATTCCAATTCGGCTAGATCATCGTACTGTTCTCCAAAAAAAAAAAAATTAATTATTTATTTTATTTGATTGCCTTAAAAAAGTAATAAAGTGCATGAGAAACAGAAAAACGAAATTGGGAGGGTAAAAAACGCGTGACCGAGTGGGGTAGTTTTGTTTTGCTGAAATTCATGGGAAGAGAACAAAGGCGAGGAGGGTAATAAAGACAAAGGGAATTGTTGTATGTATTGGACGTAATTGAGAAGGATGGGAGAGTGTGGACGTTACACATGGCCGTGAATCGTGTTGGTTAGTTGATAAATTAGCTAACACATGTAATGTTAGGACACGTGTGTACCGGGACGGAGAGGTCACCGGAGAAATGCCCGTCGGTGACTGGGAAACTGGAGTTGCTGGTGCTGTCAACTGGGGTTTCGGTGGGGGAATCGTCTTGGGGAACGGAGTGGAAGGTGGTGTCGGTGATAGCAGCGTCGTCGTTGGAGAAGTCGAAGAGGTCCTCGACGATGAAGTGGTCGGCGGAGGAGGCGTTGAGGTTGTTGTCGGAGGGGAATTGGGGACAGAAGGTGGTCTGGAAAAACTCGTGTGCTTCCATGGCTGGGATTACGAGTTACGAGTTGAAGCAGAGAGCGCTACGGTGGAAGATGAAGTGAGAAAGTATAGGGAGTTGAAGACTCAAAGTTGTGGTTTTTAGTGGTGAGAGAGAAAAGCAGAAGAGGGTTTATTTGCGTTTAAAGGGGACAAGCGGACACCTATATTGGCGTTGGACTACTCTTTTATTATTATTATTATTATTATTATTATTATTATTTTTATATCTCTTTTTTTAGCCAAGGTGAAAATGAAGTCCTTCTGTCCTCTAAGTAACACTAAAAGCGTAAACTATAAATAATATAAAAAGACTTTAATTCATTAGAAAGAAACCACAAGAATTTCATAGTGCTGCCTTTTTTTTTCTTTTCTCCCACTTGGTTTTCTCTCGTTTTCGTAACGTAGGATTCTTACCTCATCCTCTGTCCTGGCGTTACTCAAACATTAAATAAATAAATATAAGGTATACAAACGCTTTAAAATATTACAATATTGGAGTATATATTATGTTCCGAGTTCAGGTATATACATCAATGACGACCCTTTTACATTATTACAGATGACAGTATTCATTAATACAAGTTAGCAGATGATATCTCATTTTCTTTGATAATATGCACCACAACTTGTTTCTCTCCATCAAAATTAAGGCTGAGGTTATTCAATTATGGTTCTTTCTTTTACAATGCACTCCCATAATCTAATGAAATTTGAAAATTTCCACACACTCAACAGCATAAGATGTGTATATATTTGGACCCAATGCAATGAAAAATCAGCACCCAGGTTGTTCAATGTGGTTGTCGATCACGAGTTGTGCAAAGAAACAGCACAAGTGATCGCGGGACGTAGCACAATTATGCACTACATCTGGTTTTAAATATAAGAATTTTTTTAAAAGAATTTGTCATATAGTCTTTTTACAAGACTCTTTACAAGTTATTATTTTATTAATTATTTTGTTATAAACATATATTTTTTATGAAAATAAAGTAATTAATTAAATAAAAAATCTTAATAAATTTAATAATAATATTGTATAAAATATTAAATTAATAATTAATTTAATGTCATTAATAAAATTGAATATATTTTAAATTTCTTATAAAATAATTAAAAATAAGTTATATTTAGGATAAAGATAACGATTGTTGTTGTTTTGCAGTACCTCACCAAGTACTTTAAGAGAATGCTCAGAATATTTTTAGGGATATATGATAATAAGGTGTCTTGTCATATTTAAGAAAAAGTATTACTACATTTACGCCTGAATAATAATTTTAGTATGCATGCAGATACTAAATTAATTGGTATATAATAATGATTAAATGTACAACGTGTAATTTAATTAAAAAAATTAAAGACTTAAAATTTTAATAATAAATATATATAATCATGTGCGAATGCGCACATGAGAGCTTATGAACTTTTTAGGAATTATAACAATTCAAATTGCAAAATTTTGTTAGGGAACTAGTTAAACTTGTTTAATGAATAAAAATATTATTGATTGTAAGGCTTTTTTTATTAGTTATTTATTGAATCTTAATTTCAACCCTAAATGTTTGGTTTTGATAGTTTGGACATTATAAATACAAGGTTTAAATGCTGAGTTCAAAAGTGAGAGCTAGTTGACTTGTTAATAAGTGGCTAATGAAACGGTAAAGGGATATAATAGTTACTTCCAGTTAAATTCAACTCATTTGCCTTTGGGAATCACTTTGCAGGTTTATCGCTGAGATACAACATTAACGTCGAAGTTTACGACTCGATTCCTCTGCTTTTTCTTTTGCATTTTTTCCTTTGTTTCTCGGGACCCGGGTTTTTTATATTGTTTTTGTTTTCTTCAACACACATAAACTAATAATAATGCGGTTCTTTACGTTACAAAGTTAGAACTATAATTTTTTGTTTTAAATTTATATAAAAACATTTACCACATAATTTTTATAATAATTTAAAATATAATAAAGTGTATTTAATATTTATTATTGTATTAAAATTAAACATGCAGCAAGTAGCAATCGTGGCAAGCATGTCACCCTCTTCAAGCTAGCTTATATTAACAACAGCAACACCCCCTCTCCGGGGGAGTGGTGGGAGAGAAAACTATAAACACTAGAGACAAGGAGAAAAAAATTATAAAGGAAAAAGCATATGATATGATTCTCTTTGACAAGCTTTAGTAATTAAACAAATCATGTATCGGTTTACTAACACAAGTTACTAAAGCTAACAGAGTCATTAACAACTTTATAATCATTTGACTGTTTCTAAAATGGAGAAGTGTTGAGCAAGTTAATTAGTGCATGACTATTTCATCGTCATATATTAATTGTATATAATCATTTCGTTGCTCCTTCTCCAATCAGAAACGACTTCTCTCTTCAATCTTTCAATTTATAGTTATAATTTAGACAAGTCTTAGACTATTAGTTAATAATAACAATAATTTATAATTAAAAGTTATAACGTGAACATATTTAAAATTATAATAAATATATTAATAATTTTTTTTAAAAGAATAATTTTTTTAATCAACAATTTTAAAACTTAAACATTTGTCATGAAAAAATAAATGTTGTAACGCTCAATATAATAGAAAGAGAGCATGCATGTGATGTGATTGTGGACGAGAGCATGGATCTATCCGGTGCACTCTGCCACGTGGCATGCACCGACAAGTTGAAAGGGTGAGAAAACTTGGGTTGGCATGATCCCAATCCCTATGCAAATTTCTAAATCCTCATATAAATGTAAAATGGATAAGGTGTTAATTACTTTATTGCTTCAATTGTAAGGAAAGCCTCATCATTTCAAAAGGAAAAGCATTATATTTCCTCTAAGTCACTTTATCTCTCCCATTCCTTATATTATTAAATTAAACTATAAATATGTAAAAAATATAATAATACCCATTACAATAAATAATTATAAAAAATCATATAATTGTGAGTTGGTATCTATTTATATATAATTTAAAAGAGTACACACATTAACATTTGCCACGTAACTTCCAACTTTTAATTTTAACACATGGTTTTAGAAAGGTAAATGACAAATAATAATTTATCACCTTTTCAAAATTATTATCATCATGATCGTTCCTAATTATTCGTTTTAGAAAAAGCAAGATAGTATTTTATTTTTTATAATTAAAAGTAGCGCGGAACTTACTTTTAAATTTAATCAATCATAAATAAACACAAATTATACCAGATTTCTATATAAATTTAATAGCTCTATTGAAGTTACTGTTGATAAATAGCGCCGGATACTGTATAGAAAAATAAATTTGAATATTTTGTACAATTGTGTTTAAGTGTCTCAATCGTAATTAGAATGTATTTTAAAATAACTATTTACATGGTTTAAAATTATAAAATTAACCATAGCTTAATTAAAATAAAGACAAACAATATGTACAGTACAAAAGAAAGTAAATAAAATCACCAAATTTAAAATCTTAAGTCACAATACAAAACTCATTTATTCATAACAGATAAAAGCTATATAATATTAAACCATTTTAATTAATATTTAATTGAATTAGAATAAACTTATTAATATGAATATTATGAGTTTATATTAATAATATATTTGATATATTATATTAATATTTGATGTATTAATAATATATATTGCAGTAAGCCCTTGATTTTCTCTGGCTCCTCCCTTGTAAAGAAAGGGAAACCTTGCTATGTAGATGTCTTCATGGTTACGGTACTTAATTTGGTGAGTTATTTTGATATCGATTTACTACAGATTTCATAATAAATATTAAAAAATTGTAAATGTAACGACCAAACTAATAAGTTCATACCACATTTATTCTTGCTTGATTCCACGTATGAGGATTTCAAATATAAAATGAATCATTTTGAAGTTTATAATTTTAATAAGAATATTTAAAACAATAATCTCTAAACAAAATGTAGTTAAAAACGTGTGAAAAAATTATTTGTATCACTCTTAATTAAATTGTATAATGAATGTTTTCGAAACTCATAAAATTATGCTAAATAGATGTACTTTAAATTTACATTTAAATTAATCTAACACTAATTCAAACACGATAATAATATAAGTGAGAAATGTACGAGAAGTGAAAGCTAATTGAATCAAACCTAACACTAAAATGTGTGAAAATTGCTCTAGCTAATTGAGCCCAGCCCGTATCCAACGTCTCAACATTACTTATAATTATAATGCATGCGAAAGGGTGAGCTTACGAGATAAGTTTCTTTAAGAACACTAATTAAGTTGTTTGTGTAAAAATAAATAAATAAGAGTAATGAGGACTTGTTAACGAGTTGAGGCCAATAATATAATCCGTAACTTACTGTCATGTAAGTAAAAAACTATTAAACAATAATAATTTAAAATAATTTAACACACGCTCACGTCAGTGTATATATTTGGATTTGAATTTAAAAAAAAAATTTCAAAAAGTGTTAAATTATAAGCTATCGTTTACGTACCATAATGTATATGGTCGAGTATCGATGATATTATATATTTATCATTATTTTACACGATAGATTATTTTAGTGGTGGGGCCACAAGGTGCACGTGATTGAGAAGGGATGGGTACTGTGTCACCCTGTCAGCGAGCATGTGAGTGCTCCGCTCGTGTCAAAAGCCAAAACTGACGGTGGTCAATGACACGTGGCAAGAATCTATTCGCCATTACTTTTTTCTTACGATGCTTCGCGGGAGTTTTAAATATCCTATGCGAGGCTTAGGCTATTAAACGTGAAACCACGTGCCTATCTGCCACGTGAGTTGTGGGTGCTCTTGCTTTTTTCTGAAACTAGTTAGTAGTTACATACAGATAGATGTATTAAAAGATTCATGGATTATCTTGCTCTTTTATTTGGCGTTAGATTATCACATAAGAATCAAAGAATATAAATAACATTAATTGTAATTCTTAAAAAATTATCAATATACTTTTTATTTATATATATATTAATAGTAAATTTTTAAAAAGTATTAAATCATTAATTAATATTATAAAACAGCAATTAAAATGAAACGTCAATAAAAAAAAATAAACAAAGGGATCGACAGTAGAAAGATGGAGATGATTC